ATATTCAGTTATAGTCATAGCGCCACCTGCTGACAACAGGAAGTGACATGTTTTACGCTGTAACAAACTACTCCTCGAAATTTAATGACATTAAAAAAGTTTTTGGGTCAGTCTAATCTAAAGGCCTTTGTGATGTTAAATTGTGAAGATCTTGAGTTTTCGTCAAGGGGCGTGTCCCTGGCGGCCTGACAAAGTTTGCTATTTCGCCATGAAACATGCAACATGCAAGCAATGTCCGATCTGCCCCAAACTTCACACGTTTGATAGCTGTTCTGTCCTGAACACATGTCTATGCCATATTCAGTTATAGTCATAGCGCCACCTGCTGGCAACAGGAAGTGTCATGGTTAACACTGTTATGGACTCCTAGAAACCTATTAAAAAGCGTCTGGAAGTGTTAAATAGGCTGGCAACATGCTAGAAACATGCTAGCAACACTTAACAAATTGTTAAAGCATGCTATTAATGCAGTGAAACAGGAAGTTGATGTAACTCAGGCATGCAGTGTCCAATCTGCCCCAAACTTAACATGTCTGATGAGTCCTGGCCTGAACACATCTACATGCCAACATTCAGTTATAGTCATAGCGCCACCTACTGTCAATAGGAAGTGACATCTTTAGCACTGTGTTGCACTATTAGCAACACAATAAAATAGGCCATTGTGTGCTAAACATGTAAAAAATTTGCTCAAATATGATAGCAACACTTACTAAGTGCTAAAGCATGCTATTAATGCCATGAAACAAGAAGTTGTTGTAACTCATGCATACAATGTCCAATCTGCCCCAAACAAAAAAAGTCCTGGTCTGAAGACATCTACATTCCAACATTCATTTACAGTCATAGCGCCACCAGCTGGCAGTAGGAAGTTTGGCACATATAACTGACTTTGACATATTCCTCCTATATTTATCACTTTAAATGCATATTGCCCACCATTAGCTGTTTTCCTAAAGTCACCGGGTGGCGTTGAGCCCGGCTGCGAGGGCCCTTTCATTGCTGCTTGCAGCTTTAATTTAATATTAAAACTAATTTTATAGAATCTAGAGTCTAAAACTATATGTTGAAATCTTAACAACCATATTATAAATAATAATTAAAATAATTTAATGTTACACAAGAAATACTGAATTATTATTTATATTAATTTACAAGTAAATTGCATAAAAATTTAATTTAAACTGTATGCAATTGAGATTTTACTCCAAAACTAGATATTGAGACCTAAATTTAATTATCATTCAATAATAATAAAGATAATTTAATATTATACAAGTAATATTAAATTGTTATTTATAACATTAAAGCAAATTTGATCAAATAAAGAATATTATAAATTATAATAATTTAATATTATATTTAATTAAATTGATATTTTTTTTATATTTTTAATTAATATTAATTAATATTTAATTATAACAAAATTAATTTCTTGCTCTGCAGTTGCTAAAGTGTCATTTCCACAGAAGTCTGAGCACTAATAGTAATGCTTGCCTTAGCACATCTACTAATTATGCACTGTCCATACACTGTTAAAAAGGATGCCGCTGAAAAAATGTTTATATAAAATCCATCAGTTAGGCAATACAGATAAAAGAGAGTGCAAGAAGCCATTCTGTACTAGTGCAATCCTGTACACGTGCACACAAACCCATCAAGACAGGAGGTAAAAAAAAAAAGGGAATGTGTGAGGGGCACGGGTGCAAGCTGTAGTGAAGCGGAATAATTATTGCTCTCCTTTATTCATTAAAACACAATGAAGCATCTCTTGCCAGGCACAGAAAACAGTCAGTGGTTGAATTCAGGGGTCACCCTTCATCCATGCTTTCTCTCGTCTTTCGCTCCTCCCTCCATCCAAGTTCAACCTGCTGTCAGGTGCAGTTCCAGCTGGTTTCAACTGGAAGTGTCCTGCAGTTTTCTCAGAAATGACCCCTGAGGTTCTGCCCAGAGCCCCTCGGTAAATACATCAAGTCAAAGAGTGAACCGCGAGAGCTAAATCACATTTTAGAACAGTCTATGTTAATCTGTAGAGAGTGTTCCTGCAAACTCTGAGGTGGAACGTGAGGTTGTGGTTTCCTATCCCAGCCCTCGGGGGAACTGAGGGAATGGGGAATGTTTCTGTAACAGCCCTACACTGAAGCACTCAATTCAATAAATAAACTCATAATTCATTACTGGTAGTTGGGTGTGTTAATAAAAATACTTTGGCAGCTATAGAAACAATGGATTATGTTTTTCCCAAAGAAGCACAGGCACCATGGCTACTTGTCCTGCCTGGTTACATTACAGTCATACAGTAGATCCAAAGTCCCAATGGCGAGGCCAGCATCCATTAATCAAGCTGGGAATGGCATCAGTGTTTATTTGAGTGTGTGCGTGTGAAGAGTTGAAAACTACGGCTTCAGTTGCCAGAGAATTCCAATAAACACCTACAGTACAGATATACATTATATTACATGACAGGCACTTCATCTGTTAGACCAATTTATATAAGGCTACATATTGGATCCCATGTGTGATATTGAATTAGATACATTCAAATTTAGATTTATTCTTTTTAGATTAGCTTGATTCCTCTGGCTCCTTTACATGTGGACCTTCAGGTATTACAGGCAAATACAGATTAATCATGTACTAAAATATGGAACATTAATACATAAAATGAATAAGTATTTTGTGAACTAAGACAGACAGATAGACAGACAGACAGACAGACAGACAGACAGACAGACAGACAGACAGATAGACAGACAGACAGATAGACAGATAGATAGATAGATAAACAGATAGATAGACAGACAGAGACAGATAGACAGACAGACAGATAGATATAGATAGATAGACAGATAGACAGAGACAGACAGACAGATAGACAGATAGACAGATAGACAGAGACAGACAGATAGACAGACAGACAGACAGACAGACAGATAGATAGATAGATAGACAGATAGATAGATAGATAGATATAGTTAGATAGATGTTTGACACTCACTGTCTAATTGTAGAATGGAGTCGTAGATTTTGCACTGAAGCTGTCCGGTGCTCTGAAACGCGCAGGACATCCACAGTCCCTGGTAAGTGGCCACTGCCGTGATAATACTGTCCCCCACGTACGCGGACATCTTCCACTGCGGCAGGATGGTGCCCACGATCAGTCCAATGATGCCAATCAGAGAGAGACCAAATCCAAGCAACTGAACGCCCGAGTTTGCCATATTTGTTGACACTTAATGGCAAGCAGAGCATCAGTTGGCAACAAACTTGAGAAAAGCTCCTGTCCCGCACCTGTTACTCTCTGAAGGACCTCCCCGAAAAAACTGTCGATGAAGTTGAGAAAGCGACCAAATCTCCGAGGAAAAACAGCAGTCTGTCAGTCAGCTGGCGGTGTTTATATCTCGACACGGATGCCAGTTAATGTGTGCGTAAAATACAGATGCCGAAGTGTGGTCTCGAGCGAATGAGAGGGTAACGGCAGGCTGGCGCGCGATGCCCGTTGTGCCATGCCCGGTGTCGTGACGTCACGCCACAGTACCACTCGCATCATCTTTACTTAAGTTTTAAACTTTTACTATCCTACAAAAAATATCGGGTAGCAAGCTAGATAAAGTTTATGTTTTCTCTATAACATATTCTTCTAGCCAAGTGTCTTTAATAAGGAAACCACCAAAAACATGTTGTGGTAAAATCACAAGTAGGCTATGACATGAAAGTCTCAATTATGAAATAAAAAAATGACATAAAAAATTAATTATGATTTCCTTTTGTATGTTGGCGGAAATGGGCTTCCATAAAATAAAACACTAGGCTGTTCTTGTTGTTATAGTTATTATTATAGAAATTATTATTATGTTGCCTGCTTTAATTTACATTGATATATTTGAAAACCTTCCATTTTCCTCCGTTTACTTGGTGCTTAAAACGTTTCACATACTATTGCCTATTCAGTCTCAGAACCTCGACTTACATCTTGTCCATTCCATGAGGACACTTTTGTCACGTCTAACCATTCCATCAGGTGACCTCTGCACTTCCAGTGAAGGGGGAAACAAGTCTGGGTAACACTTTACTTGAAGGGGTGTGCATAAGACTGACATGACACCTTCATAATCATGTCATGAATATGAAGGAGGTTTTATGCATGTTTATGACAACTGTCATTAAGTGTCATTCGCTCAGTTATCATTTTTAATGCAAATATGACATTATTTGACCTAACCCTACCCCTACCCTTACCCCTAACCATAGCCCATAACAAAGACATCTCAAACAATGTCATCTTTGCATTAAAAATTACATAACTGAGCGAATGACACTTAATGACAGTTGTCATAAACATGCATAAAAAACCTTCATATTCATGACATGTGTCATGTCATGATTATGTAGGTGTCATGATTATGAAGGTGTCATGTCAGCCTTATGCACACCCCTTCAAGTAAAGTGTAACCAAAGTCTGGAACACTATCAACTATTGTCTGCGGTGCAGAGTTGGCACCAATGTTACAATGATCTTACAAAGGTAAAGAGGAAATATCTATAACCTGAGAAAAATAGGGCGGAAGCAATAATGCTATTCGAAGAGGAAATTATTTTCACTCCAGAAAGTGTCTATGTCTGACACCCATGTTTTCGGTTGATGGTTTCTTTTAAAGGTAACAAATAGGATTTAAACAAATAGATAACCGAAAAGTCACAGTTTGTTCTCAGAATTCTCAGAGAATGTGTAGGAGAGGTGGAATAACAGTTGGCAGACACAGTAGAAGGAACTTCTTTGCTTCAGTAACATCTTGAAATTAGCACACACTACCCTGGTCACCCCTGGTAACGTGATTTATCTGTCACCCTAATATTGGCCAGTTCCTGAGCACTGGGCCAAGTAGCCTTGACACACAAAAGAAACTTTGACATTTTTTTCAAAGCTTCTGTCCCCACCTAGTTCCAGTAAACAGACAACACTCAGTAAAGGGAGAGCAGCAGTGCTAAATCAGCCCCAAGAAGAACAGAAACTCCCTTCATGGCTTTTCTTCTGGCTGGCTCCAGGGCTTTTTTTGAAGTTTACAGACAGTGGAAAAAAAAAAAAAAACAGTGATTAAACTGGTGTAAGCCTTCTTAGAAGCCCACTGAACCGTTAGCAATAAAACACACAGGCCTCTGGGTTTCCCCTGAAAAGCAGTGACTCGGCTAATGCTTTTCTTATTTCATTATTTCTTACCTCTTTCTTTTACTTCTTATGCAACTAGGTGCCTTCAAAGAAATGTAGGCACACAGACCAAACTGATGTAATCTAGGAATTCCAAGGTCTCTTTTCTATTGATGACAACTTTCCCCCAAAAAATGTTTTTGTCATGTTTTTAAAATAGGTCTTTTATGACTGCATTTATTAGATCAAAAATACTTTGTAATTTGTCTTGAGAATAATGTGCGTCAAGACCAGAAATGTACACTAAGAAAAAAATATTAATTTTCATTTTGTTTTCATGCTGACTTTAAAGACTTGTAACATCCATGACTCAATAAAAGAAAATCATGACTTTAATTTCATGCTACAGAAATTGCTCCAACACAAAATATTAGAAAACTAGCATAAAATTGGTCATGTAAGTCCAAATAATTTAATGTTAACCCAATAAAAGCTTCTGTAAGGTAATCATGAACAATATCATGTTGCTTTAGGAACTTAATCTAAACATGAGCCATGAGTTTGGCTCTGCCAGTATATTCAGATTTTAAAGTTTTAAATCTAAAATTATTTGAGAATTAGCCAAGAGTAAGTGGTTCATCACAATAATAATAAATGGACAACATAATGCAAGTTAACATTCAAATTACTGGCTGAAAAAGAGGTGTGTCAGCCAGAAAACCATCAGCTAATGTTATTTAGAATTGACTGCACATCAGTTCATTAACTTTACCGTAGCTAGATTGACAAAGCATGGAGTTGCGGCATGCTTGTCAGACTTTATATCCTAATGGTTTAGTGACGAATCAGATCCAGGAAGGATTTAACAAACCACTGCTGGCAGACAGAAAAGAGCTGCACACAAGGAGAGAAATACTGTATGACTGTTTAGATTATGCTGAATGCATGTGATTATAATTTTTATGATATATTCTCTAGGGCATTGGAGATGCCCAATTTCTCAAAGAAAGAAAGAAAGGCAAATAAATATGATTTTTGATGCCCCCTAGAGTCAGTCAACACCAACTACAGTCTTACTATGTTTTGTGTTCAGGAGCTGTGTGCCTGTCATTTAAGGGATGTGCTCATGGAAAAGGCTGGTCAGGAGTGTAGTTGAAACTGGCATCCAGAAACATGGCCAATGTGCCCAGGGTAGTAATGATGACAAAGAGCCAAAGGAAGAGCCGATCCAAAACCACAGCAATGTACTGCCAGTCATCTGTCATCTACACGGGTACACATCAAACACAGAAACAATAGGATATGTTGATCTCACTGACACAGGAGGATGTGTATTGTCAATTTATGAATAATCACGAGGATCAGGGACAGACCGAGAGGAAGAGCCTTAGATAAAGGTTCCCTTTCATGGGAACTTCGAACTGCATCCTCTAGGGGTCGCTATGGGGGGGAACGCCTCGTCGTGACCCGTGTCTGAAGCATACATTGAAAAAACACCAACTCGTTGGCCGGCGACAGCCATGACGTCACTACCGGTGCGACTATAGTATAAATAGGCGCCGGGAGCTACACATCATTCTCTTCTTCGTCTTCATTGACTGTTTTGTTTGAAGCGTGCATTTCTGTGGTAAGAAAAAAAAGAAAAGAAAAAAAAGCGATCTCTATTTATGGCGAGCACTAGCAAAGCATTTAAGGATGTGTGCATCCGTGTTGACGTTGTTTAACATCTGATGACACACACGATCTATGATCTGTGAGTTTGTGTGGAAAAACAGAGACGGAAAGTGAATGAGAATGTGTGTGGTTTGTGAGCATGTGTGTGTTCATAGACTCACGGTATCGTCCACATCCTGTTTCTTCAGTTGTTCAGCCATGTACGTGACGGCGGCAATTGCAGATTTGAGATTCGGAGGCAGAATCAGACAAAAGTTGTCACTGTTTGAAAACCTCTGCAACTTCACAGTGCTCTCGTTATGACTGAAAAGCACAAATACACAAAAATAAAAGAATGATTAACCCTAAACAAAGATTAATAAGTGTACTAACAAAACACAAATTGTTATGCTGCAGTGTTTTCATGTCCACTCACTGTAAGTGGATTATTAACATTATATAAAATTCTAACAAATTATCATTAAACGAATAGTTCACTCTAAAATTAAAAAAATGCTAAAAATTTACTCACCCTCAGGCCATCTCCTGCTAACCAATGGATGCTCTGCAGTGAATGGGTGCCACCAAAATGAGTTCAAACAGCTGTCAAAATCACAATAATCCACAAGTAATCCACACTACTCCAGTCCACCAAAACTGTGTGTAAAACAAATCCACCATTAATGCATTTGAACTTTAAACTTCTGTCATATAGTCCATAATCCATACTGATGCTTCCTCCAGTGAAAAAGTCCATGCCCTGTTTTCCATTTCTCATCAAAATCCACAGAAATATTTGTTTAGAACTGTTTTTTTTTTGCCCGTAAACGATGCATGATCTGTGCATATTTCTCTCCTGATTCAGACAAGATAACTTTTTCACCGGAGAAAGCAATATTATGGATAAGGACTCATTTTTAGCAGCATTTTGCTTCACAAGAGGTTAATTGATGGACTGGAGTTGTGTCAGTTACTTGTGGATTATTGTGATGTTTTTTGTCAGCTGTTTGGACCTTGACGGCACCCATTCACTGCAGAGGATCCTTTGGTGAGCAAGTGATATAATGCTATACTTCTCTAAATCTGTTCTGATGAACAAACAAACTCATCTACATCTTGGATGACCTGAGGGGTGAGTACATTTTCAACAAATTTTTTTTCATTCCTTTGAAAATTGCTTATAAGTATGAGCAGCAATTTTGGCCCTTTGATATTAATTAGGATATGGTGTTATATTGCTCACAGTTTTTAAGCACTCAGCTTTCAATTTAGTCAATACTGAGAACAGAAAAAAAAGATGAAAAAAAAGGAATATTGGAGACTAGGTGGTACTTGGCCTAAACGTTTGATACTGTATCGTATTGCATATTGGTTAAATGTGCTGCCTGCCCTTGTCTTCCTCTTTTATCCTGAAAAAGATGACCTATCCCATGACCTGACTGGTCTGCAAGTGACAGCCGCACACTTTGAAACGTCAGGGCAACATTTAGACAACATGCACTTATTTATAATGATTTACTGCACCTGTTGCATGTTTTCATTTTTAGAACAGCACTGCGTTATTCATGCATAGCTCACCATCATCATACTAGGAGAAAATCATCTATTTCATCTACTACAAGTTACAGCATACTTCTTTGCAATAAGCCAGACAATTTAACAGTACAAACCCTGCAGGATGAGTTATGTATCAAATGTAACATTTTATGGTAATAAATAACCAAGTATGAGCAATAGCAATTACAAAGCATCACTAATAATATATAGAAATGTGCAGTAGCTAGTTTTGCATGCTGTGTTGTACAGTAGCATGAGTTCATTGTAGAGGTCAATATTGTGTTGCTCTGTGCTATAGTGGGAATGAGTCTGTCATACAGTGTAGAATGAATGAGAGCAGTGCTGTGTCTGGGACTGACCTCCCTCACATTCCCATTCTTTCAAGGGTGAGTTTTTTTCCAACAGGGATTATACAGAGAGCACCACACGTCCAGCACATGATATGCACGGTCAATGAGATGCATACCGGTATAGACAGGAACTCCAACACTCATACAAACGTTTGTTTCCACATACTGTATGTGTGATGTATGCATTCACTTTCCTACGCACATGTTGCATACACACTTAATATAAAAACCCATCCTCAAATGATTATCTGCACAGACACAACTCATGCACACAGACCTCTGCACAACATAAACAAACAATGCACATAAATACAACACAGATTCAAATCATGTTGCGCTTCATACTCTTTCACTTGTCTTTTCAGCCAGTTAAATAAACATATGCAGGACATCAGAGTAACATGCTGACTACAACTTTTACTAAGCATTGTAGGCTGTTTTCATTTAATTTCATTGCATTTTCTGTGGAATCAATGTTCAAACATTCTAAAATGGCTAGAAATTGAACATAATGTCTGAGAGTGTTTTCATGTGCAAAAGTTGTAATTTTATCAGCATGCTATTTAAACCACAACCACCACCAAAACAACAACAACAAAAAAAAACTACAGCAACTACTAGCTGACCATTGTTACCCAACCCATGTTACAGGTTTCTTTTCACATCTTACTCTGGACCACAGTATATTTGCATTATTGACACAAGTACTACCTCGATTACCAGTGGCAGCTGTGTGGCACTTTTATTGTTATTGTTAAGTAAAATTAATTAAATTAATTAAGTTATTAAAAAATTAAAATTAAAATTAAAATGTGAATAATTAGGGTTTTTTTAGTATATAAACAATACAAAAATAACACCTTTAAGGACTCAGGAGGAGAAAAGGGAGTGTCAAATATCCAAAACTGTACAATTTCTACTAAAATTTCTGACAAGAATCAATGACAAATGAATCAATGACACTCTGCTTGCAAATTTTCAATAATTAAAATAAAGCTGAAAAATGTAATTGAAACTGAAATTACTAAATAAAACTAAATTAAACTAATTAAGCTAAATAGAAATATAAAACAAACAAAAAATAAAAAATAAAATAATAAAACAAATAAAAAAATGACAAAAGAACAAAATTACTACAACCTAATAAAAAAAATATATATATTTATAATTTCTGACAAGAATCAATGACAAATGAATCAATGACACTCTGCTTGCAAATTACCACAACAAAAACTCAAATTATGTAATTTTAATAATTAACTTCTAAAATGAGGCTTATTGCTTTCATACCAATTGTTTATTGGGTATCCAGACACCTGTTTTCAAGCAAGACCTGAGTTCATTACACGTTTCACACCAGCCAAACTCTGACATCAAACACGTTTGGGACCACTCATCTGCTGTCAAACCACCATTAGATTTAGCAAGAAATTTAGGATATTTAGGCCTTTGGGTTGTTCCAAAGTTTGGATAGCAAGTACCACCTGCTAATAAAAATGGATCACATTCAACAAAATTAACTTTCCCTGAAATCACTTCTCTTATCCTGTAGCCCTCAAGACCGGCGCCATGTCTTGAAGGACTTGTGAGCTTAGCACTTTAATAAAGCTCTATAGCGGCATGCAGCCGTCTTAAGACCACCTGTTAGACTGGCTAAAGAGTGGCACACTCTGCGGCACCAGATTACAGGAGCAAGAATGACAGGCCACAGGTCACGAGCCATTCTCAAACAGATGAAGAGGAGGAAAATACGCACCCCAGGCCCACCAAACAGTTCATTACTACTATTAAGGACAGATGGAGACCACACACTGTACAATAAAGCAGAGTCATGTGCACGTTTTCAGAAAAAACCCATCCATCTGTCCATCAAAATGTCCATTCATCCATTTATGTGCATCCTCCACCTTCGGCCCTCTCCAGCTGTTCTTGTGTGCATTACACTCTAATGCCTCAGCTCAACAAGGGCTTAGATTCTGGCGACTTTGGAGGGGTGACTGGGCTTAACTGGGCTGAGATCAAATGCGCTTGGATTGAGAGGAGGAACAGCCAGCACAGCGACTTTCATCATCCGCTCACACTGATCCGCGTTTACGAGAGTTGCTTAAAAGCGAGCAATATTGTCAACACCAGCAGATTATGGTACAAGCTAGGGCTGCACGATAAATCGAAATGGAATCGAGATCGCGATTCGACAGAAGCTGCGATTGTCATGCGT